TGCTGTTGTTGCTGCCATGGTTGTTGCTGTGGTTGCTGTTGTTGCTGCCATGGTTGTTGCTGCCATGGTTGTTGCTGTTGTTGCTGCCATGGTTGCTGTTGTTGCTGCCACTGCTGTTGCTGTAGTTGCTGTGGCTGCTGCCACGGTTGTTGCTGTGGTTGTTGCCTTTGCTCTACTCCAGAAGGCAACTTCAGGATTAAAGCGCACTGGAGTCCATCCAAAATGATTTGACAGTTTGTGAAAAACACAACATTCGTATAAACAGTCTGATAATGGTAGTGATAAATGGGATGTTGGCTGAGGAGGAGGCACTGAAGAACGAAACTGGGAAAGTAGACAACCAGGAAGGAGCACATGGCCAGAAGCACAATCAGTTTATTCAGGGTGGCAGTAGATGGAGACGAAGTAAGTACTAAAGAGTTTCCAATGGTGGCCAGAGCAAGACCAGCAATGAAAATGGAAAAAATGATTACTGCCGCTGTGTTGACATACAAATAAAGTGGGACCAAAGCAACAATCAGCCCAGCAATCAGCACAAAGTAGAGCTTCGCTCCGTGTCCAATCTGTGGCTGACACAGGTAATGGATGGACAACAATGCGTTCATTAGATGAATAATCACTGAAAACCACCTGGTCAGAAGCCACATGTGTTCCACTTCGAGACGGTTATGGAAGGTCCATTGAACCAAGTCAACTCCAAAGATCATTGCTGCGATCAGATTCAGAGCATCCATGGTGAGCAGAGGCCAGAGAGAGTTGTAGACGATCTCAACACTTACGATGTTGGTTTCCCACCAGTTTCCAGCTCTTGTAAAAACACTGAGACTGCTGCGTTGGTACCAGAAGGCCCAGATGATGGTGAGGAGGCCCAGCAGGGAGGTACCTATCAGGATGCCTCCTGCCAGGACAGGGTTTCCTGCAACACCCTCTGATCTGAGCTGGGCTGCCTCCCGGCTGTGGGCCAAGCTGCTGAACACATCTGAGTTGTTCCACATGATGTGATGGTCTCAGTTTTGTCGACCTGCTGGAGGACGGAGAGAGAACATCATTTTAAACACCATCTGCAAAATATGTATAGATTCCAAGTCATAAAAACGTTAAAAACTTGTGCTGATGGTATGAATTATGAAGTTATTTTGATTTAAAGTAGCACCGATTTTAGTGAAAAGGCTAATTTGCTGAACTCGGTATCATTTGCTGGTTGAACATAATTACTTTAGAAGTCATCATCAGTCAAATACACTGATGTTAGTTGTTCAGGTTGTTTCTGAGTGTGTACAGACAGTCTCTCTTAGAACTGGAGAGCCCTCAGTAGATGGACATAGCTGCCCAATGTGTGCATGTTGACCTGATTCTGTGCGCCTACTTGAGGATGAACTTGCCTTGAATTTGCCTTAAAATGATCCATAATGTAACAAGAGCTCAGTCTGTCATGTAACACAGATATGTTGCATGGAGGGGAAGTGTTTTGCTGTAATTTACGTTACGGCTAAGCATCTAAGATTTATGACCTTGAGTTTGACCTTTGTCTCAATATGTTACATCACCAGTGTATAGGCCTCCAATGTCTTCCTAAGTTAGTCTACTACACTGATATCTTTTTGTGCATTTTCAGTCACACAGAGTTGTGTTGGGGAAATGCGACCTTTGACTTCTGTCACGGTCACCAATGCATGTATTGACCCCAAAATCTAATCACTCTGAGAAGGGACCATACTGAGGTCATGTATGAAGTTTCAGGTTCAAACTCCTCTTCTGCCCATCGATGGGCAACTACGGTTACATTCATGTATTTATCCTGATCTATAACAAGTTTTATACATTAGCATATATTGAATGAGGAAACAGCTCAAAACTGTACAACTGAGGAAAGAAGCGCTGGTCAATATATTGACTTGTTACTTTTCCTCTCAGCAGCCTCACAGCTCGTTAAACCAACTCTTTAAACGGACTCTTGATTTCTTTCAAATTGAAAATTAGCTAATAAAATTTCTTTTCTCGTTGCTCACTGTTGTAATCCTGGGAGAAGTCCAGTTGTTTTTTTTACTGAATTCCTTGGATTAAAAAGACCTGCATGACTACATTAATTACAGAGCACATAAAAGTGATTTCATTACACTTAACAGCTGATAAAACTGCAAATTTACACTAAAATAAATTTAAAAAAATTATTTCAAACTTTCACCTACTTGTTATTATCAGAGGTGACAAAAAGCTTCTAAACATTTAAAAACCATCAAAATTGCGTCTTACCTGATGTGCGGAGCGTTCTGATTTGTTGTTGGGGGAAGCTGCTGAGTGATTAACTTTGTGTTTGGGCTGCATATTTATGGCTGTGGTCAGCTTGTAAAACTAATGCACATGCCCTCTTTTGTTTCCTTTAAATCAGCAGACAAAGGTCAGTGTTTTCCACTGACATCATATCTTTATTGACGTTACATTAAAAAAAAAAAAAAAAAGCATGATTTCACTTTATGATAGCGGACGCATCTGTTAATGAAAAGTTTTCTGTTTAAACCTTTTAATAAAGTCACACGAGATCCAGGAACTCCTTTACGACAAGAATTAAAGATTTAACGGTGAAATTACAACAGGTGCTTGTGGCTGAACAACCAAACCACCTCCACACCCTGAACTTACTTCAGTTGGGAGTTTTACGACGTGAATCATGGAAAGCAGTCGTTAATGTTTATTATTTTATGCTTATTAGGACTATGGACACCTTCAATAAAAGTCTGACCTGTGTTCAACCTGGTCTCGCCCTAAAGTAAACTCTTATTAAATTATAGCTTTCCCACTTTTTTATACCTTTGCAAATAATGAAACAAAGCAACTACACAGAGCTGGACAGTGACTGTACCTATACTGTGATATAAAAGTAGTTTAAAACAAGAAAACAACAACTAAAATATCTGGTAGCAAAAGTTACTGATTAATTGCAGTAAATTACAGCACATAATTTAACAACGAATGATTGTAAAATGACAGATTTAGACCTGTACATGTGCTTTGGAGTTTCATATTTAAATAGAATTACAAACATTCACTGCTAGAAAACATCCCTTGAATGTAACAAAATCATTTAAAGTACAATGATGCTGCCTTTAAATGACAGCACAATTATTTAATCAGTCTCCAATATAAGTGTAGTAAAAATAGTTGAACTGTGTCAGAACATGGTGGATTCTTGTCATGTGAAGTTACATATGTTGATTTTAATTTTACAGCAGGTTTGTTTTTGTTTTTTTTTTTTTTAAATAAAAAAAGCTATTTTCGTGCATTTTACAGACATGTTCTCTTATCACGAACAGCACAGAAAGCAATCTGTATTTATTTTAACTGTCACACAGCAGTAGAGTTACGACTGGCTCCAAGGCCGCAACAAAGGAGGAGATGCACACAGAGGTTCTGTATCTAAAGACCATTTATAAACAAAGAAACGAAGACAAGAACAAGCACATGGGTGGCTGGATGTGAGAGAGGAAGCTCGAGCTCAGCAGGCTGGACAACATAACCTGGGACACTGGTCAGCTGATTGTAGGCTCCGTCCAGCCAGAGTAAGTAGCAACAGGTGCATAATGCATTGGATGGAGGGAGAGAGATATTTTAAGCACATTTGGATGAGATGTGTACCTTCAAAATATGTTTTGAATACGGCCCTGAACATGTTCTATTTCAATCTCAACAAGACCTAAGTGTAAATATGTCTTCTTCCAGGATTTCTCAGCCAGGACCATCTCCTTCGTGGACCGATTTCCTGGCAACTGCGAACTTGCCATACAACCCTCCATAAAACCTGCTCGCTGGTTTCTCAACATTTTGATTTTGGTAAAGGTTAAACAAAAAGGATGTAAAGTGTGCTAATTGCATTCTACTTTCAATATTTGTCATCCAGGTGTACATAAAAATTCCTGTTAAACACTGTTTTTATTCCAAAATGTTGAACTAGCCAATAGAATTGTTCAATGCTAAAGGAAAAAAAACAGTCCTCAGATCAGCAGCTGAAACTTACATCATCAAAATCACATGAAAAACTTGTCTTACAGATGGGAAGAAATGCAATTTACTCCAACTATTAGTGTGCCCAAAGCAGAAAAACCAGACAGTCCAGCATCCTTTTCAGGATTTTACCGTTAAACAGAAGAAATCACACTCTTTCTTCCTCTTTTCTTTGCTGGTCCGTCGTTTTTCTCCCAGTTGGCTCCTCGACATTCTGAACTTTCACCAAGCCCACCTTGATGCTCGGAGGAAGTCCCATTTTCATCAGCACCACATGAAACTGACAAAGCAAAGAATTAGATTTGAAAATTCTGTGTCATCCGGTTTGCGTTCTGTCCCTCTTAGTTACGTTGTTGGTATTCTCGTCATACACTGCCTTACAAGATATTCATGGGTTGTGTGTAACTGAATAAACACATTGTTCTGATATATTGTTTAGAGGTTCATCTTTTGTATCTCACCAGCTCGTTGATGTCGTCTTCGCTCAGCGGTACCTTAGAGGTGAGCTTTCCTCTGAGGGCGATCACATGTTCTGCTAAAAACAAACAACCTGAAGTGTGTGGTTTCCAGAAAAACACAAATACATACATTGATATCCTCCAAATATTTCTGATGTTTCCAACACACTGGAGACAGAAAACTTATGGAACAACAGCTTTTAGGATCAACGCCAAGAAAATACTCCCTCACCAAAAACCTCTGGAGTTGTCTGCTCAAAGGAAACCTCTGTACTGGTTGAGTCTCCCTCACTGGTGGTCACTTTCACTGTGGACAAAGCAGGCTGGCTTGAGGATTCATCTGCAAAATGGAGAAATGATAACTACCCAGTAAGATATTATCACAGAGAATAAAAAATAAGCAGCAGTGTACCCACCTGTAGCTGGTTTTGTTTGGTTCACCTGTGGAGTGGAAGGCCACCAAGATGAGGTCGCCTGTGTACTGAGATAGTCTCCAGTTGTGTACATCTCAGTGGTGGTCATGACGTTTGGGTTTGAAGCAGTGGTGGTGGAGTGATGTGATGTGTGAGTTTGGTCTGCAAAATAAAGGCAAGTATCAATGTGGATACATATTTTATTAAATACTGCAGATGGATAATGGGATTGGTATAATAGAAAGTTCTTGCTGGTTGCAGTTTCTGTGTGGTGTTCCTCAGGGATCCCTACTTGGACCACATACTGTTCATATTCATCTAAAACTTAGTAGAAATTATGCAAAGTTTCACATAAATCCCAATAGGATAAAATGATGAAGTGATGTCATTTAATATCCAAAACATCAAGTTCCCAGTGACAGCATAATGCTCTGTGAACACGTCTCTGGTCGTTATTCAAGACCATAACTCAGGAGCAGTGGAGGAAAAGGGGACCATATTTTATATTTGGTCAGACATTGATTTGGTGACTCTTGGGTGTCCTCCTGTTAAATTCCTTCACTACATTTATTAAAAGAGTCTGGAGAGACTCAGATATGTGTGATATGCCCTGAATGATCTGAAAGTTTTGAATATGTGCAGAAATCTGAGTTATTTGAGCCCAGAGTTCTATACATGAGTTGATGATTATTGAAGCAAAAATGAAAAGGTGAAACATTTAAAGAAGTGACTTCTCCAAACAAAAGACACAAAGGATGACAGTAGAGTAACTCATGTTGATCTACAGAAGACTGATTAACTGGAAGTGATACAGAACACCTGAGATTCCTTTATATTTGTAATTGTTTTTGTGGTTTCCATCACATAAATAAAGACATTTCCACCATAAATTGATGCAGAAAAAGCACAAGCTGGTGCTTAAAATTCAGCAGAATGCAGAAAATGAAGTGTTGCGTACTCGAAACTTCTTGATAAAGAATCCCCAGATCCCTCGCCAGTGTTTGAACAAGTCTACGGCGTTAGCTGGCAGGGATTAGCAAAGACGTATCTGATCTCTCACCAGGTGATTCTGTACTGCTTGAGCCTCCCTCGGTGGTCGTAGCAGACAGAACTGTCTCGTTTTCAGAGACTGGCGGCAGCTCAGAAGACGTAATGTCTGTTGTGAAATAGACGTTGGTTGACGGAGCAGCTGTGGCGTCGTCAGCGGTGGAGAAAACTGGCTTGCTTTCATCTGAAAATTGGAGATCTATTATTCACAAAATGCAGCAGTACCACCGCTAATGAGAATGTTGGGTCTTGTTTGACCCACGTCTGATGTTAGATACGTGACATCATCTCTGTAGGAAGATGTGGCTATTTCATCTGGGACACTTTTTTTCAGTCTAACAAACACGTGTGATCAACATCAAACAAATAATAAACTCACAAACAGCTTGTGGTAGATGGGTGCAGTGACCCATTTAAAAAATCAATGTAATCACCAGTTACAGACGTCGTTTGGTGCAGTTCTGAGGTTGAAAACCATCTCTCTGTGCTGGTTGGGGGTATTCTGGATGGGCTTATTTCGCTCTGGGTCACCGGGGTGGAGGTGGTGGACGAAGGCGGGCTGCTTGGAGTTTCATCTGCAACATGAAGACGAAGCATCGTCAGAGTACGTTGCTACCACTAAAACAGCAGATTTGTTTTACTCACTCGTCAGGTCCACCTCTGGGCTTGAAGGCTGCTCTGTTGAGGTCATTTCTGTACTGACACGACCCGTCGTTGACTCTATCTCTGTAACAGTCTCTGCACTTGGGTTCACAGTGGATGTGGAGCTGGTAGAAGGTAAACTGTTGGCTGCTTGATCTGCAAAACAGAGACATGGACTTCTTGTTACTACTATATATATATTTACTCTGCCATATGTTGTATGAACATTTCTCTCACCAGGAACAGATGTTGTTTGATCCTTTTGTTGGGTTGAAAGCTGCTCAGACGAGGTGAACACTGTGCCGGCTGAGTTTTCCTCAGCAGTGCTTGTAGTGGCAGATGTAGCAGCAGTGCTGGTGGTGGAGAAATCTGGCATGTTTGGAGTTTCATCGTCAGCATAGAAACGACATAAAGACAAACAGAAGAACAGACCTGTCTGTGAGCAGCTTTTGTCTTCTTAAAGAACCAGAGTGAAGTATTTAAGGAGATCTACCTGCAGAAATGGAATATAACATTCATCTGTAGATTAACTAAACTGGCAACGGTGCACTCACCAGTGACTAGACCTTCTAGATGGAACTGTCTTTACCCTACAGTCACTGAGACACATCCACTGCACTCAGACAATCTCCATTTTGCTGCACTTGTATCTGATGCATTTTTTTACATATTAGATTTCATATTTAAATTAATTCACATTACTCTGTGGAAATCTGTTCTTCCTTTGACATGAAACAGTCTTTTTGTAGGCGCCGTCAAATCAGAACTCATATTTCACAACGCTTTTACTGTAATAGCGATGGGCCTACTCACCGTTTTCTTCATAACAGATAAAGCTGAGCTGCTTGCTGCAGTCCTCATCTGACCACAGGCCTGCATTCCCCAGATCAGTCGCAGTGCAAGACAGCTCCCTCCCGACATGATCAGGCTGTCCTTCCCTCCAGTAGCGGTAGGTGGAGTCACTTTGATCCGACCATTCCCGCGTCCTGCACACACAAACAATGTGACCAAACACCTAGAAGGTTAACACTGAGCTAGGACCGAGGACTCTCGGGGCAACCATCCATCAGTCAACGTGACACTTTGTGAAACACTTTCCAGACCTGAAGAGGCCAATCCAGGTGCTGCTTTCTTTGGTCAAACGCTGTATCTTCCTGTTCTCTTCCTCATTTCTAACGCTGGCCAGGTCTGTGTAGCGATCTCTGCAGTACAGCTGAGCATCAGACCAGCTCATCTTCTTCTCGATAACAGTGAATTGCCTGCTGTTGTTGGCTGTCTCTGATGAAAGAAAAAAAAAAGAGAGACTGAGATGTTGACCTCCTAAATATGAGTTGAGTTTTATGAAGCAATGAATCTATTCATGAGGATAAAACCACATCTGAGACCATTATAGCAGATGAAGGGGTTTTGCAGGAAGCACGGTGAGTCCTCCCAGCCCCCTGCACTCCCCATGTTAACACACATCTCGTCCCCGAGGAAGTTGTCAGGCTGACTAACATCCCAGCCCCTGAAGTCATCGCCTTCTTCGTCTGAAAACGGTCCTCGACGTTGGTCCGAACGCGACCACCTCCAGTTGGTGAGGTTCTCATAGAGGCCGATCCAGGCCCTGTCCTTGAATCCTCCGGTGGCGTCCTGTGCTGTGTTCACCACACGGTTCATGTCCTCGATGTCGTAGACGGTGGCCAGGTCTGTGTGCAGCTCTCTGCAGTACATCTGGGCCTTCAGCCAGGTCGTGGCGGTTCTGATGAAGTGATACCGATGAGGACGGCAGTGAGTAAGAGCACAGAGGCCTGTGGATGGAAGGCACTGTTATCTATGAGTAGAAATGAACTTATTGGTCTAAGTGCTCAGTAGAAGGCAACAGAACTTCCCTGCTCCTGAAGACATTTCACCTCTAATCCATGTGTCCACTCCAGTTCTAACAGACTGGTGGGGATCTCAGGGTTTATATTTGAACCCCTAAGTCCCATGACTAATAGTCCACTAACAACCCAAGAGTCATATGCCTTGAGGTGCTGGGAAACTGCCAGACTGAGGGAAGAGTCAAGATATTAAGGTGAGGAAGTTGTCCAGGAAGGACCCTCCAGACTGCATTAGAAGTATCTGTGAAGTGGTGACGTGGAGCCTCTCCTCTGTTTAGACATGGCTATTCCATTCGGTGTCTATGAAACCACGTATCAGGTACTTACAATGCAGCTCCTTCCCTCGACAGTTTTCCCAGTGTTACCACCGCCAGCTGGCAATTTCACAGCCATTCATTGAGGCATGTGGGTCTTGGGTCGGTAATGAGCCATGAGCTATGTGATCTGGTTTACTGTGTATACATGGGGCTGGATGGACAACATAAAGACAAAAGACAAACAAGACCCAGGACTGACGCTGTTAGAGCAGCAGCGTTATGACGCAAGACAGACACAGTGCAACCTCCAGTCCATGTATGTACCGTTTGTTGTTGATTTTTCTTTTTACACTAATGATAGAAACATCAGTCCGAGCTATGTCTGATACCAAACCTCGTCTTCGCTCAGCTGCAGTTTTAACTATGCAGATAAAATGCATCTTTTCTTACCTGTGAGGAGGAAGACAGTCAGACTCCACTTCATGTCTGAACGGTTCCTTCACGTTTCTGCAACACACACACACACACATTGACCTTTTAGCAGCCACTGAACAGTAAAATGAACAAAAGAAGATCTCCAACATGAACATCCTTCACTAATAAGCTGTAAAAGGCCTCCAGCAGGTATGGAATATGAGTCCAGGAATGCAAGTACCGTCATTAAGCACAATTTAGAGTTGAGAATGTTGCTCTTGCTTTTCTACCTCCAGACTACCTCACACTGTTGTTAGGCAGGTTTAGTTACTTTGCACATTGAAATTTTACACAAAAAAAAAACAGACACCTGATGCTATAGGATGCATTGACACATGTTGGACGACCAAACTGTGTGTATAAAGTACGTCGAATAAGCCCTCACCTTAACAGCAACATTAACATGATGCTTAAAAAAATGTGCTTTCGTAATAATACAATAATAGTTGATTACATTTTTAGTGTAATAAAAGTCACACTCCTAGTCGTAGGTGTATTCAGAAATTGCGCTGCTTTAACCAAAAGTATATTAATGTGATAAGTTTGCCTGACAAGAGCACAAAAAATTCACAATTCACAACATATGCTGAGCTGTCAGGAGAACATCACAGGAGCTGCAGCCTGTGGAAAAGAATAAAAGTAATAATGATGCTTTGAATCTGTAAAATTCTGTTTCTTTAAAGCTTAATCGACTACAGAAAGCGTGGATGCATGTAAACGTTTGAATCGCTGTACAGAGACGTGTTTAATGTCGGTTTAAGGAGGAGATACCCGCTTTTCCTTTTGATTCTGTATCAAGTCTCTCAAAACGTCAGATCCCCTGCTGCTAGAAATAACTTCATCCGTCTCAACAAACAAGATCACTCATTTAAAAAGGACACACACCTCACTACCTTTGTTTTTTAAGAAAAACAGCCCATTACGGTCTCACCTACAGCTGCTGCTTTGAAGATCCGTACCGTCTGGTCGCTAAAGTGTGTCGAGCTCGAGCAGAAAACAATGCTTCACCTCAAGTGTGGGAAACCTTCTCACCGGACGAGTTTCTGCTTCTCAGCACTTTGCTCTCAGCGCATTTTTCAACTTTCCAGAGCAGAGCAGGTTCTGGGTTTAAGGCAGACGCAGCCTGGGAGGATGATAAAGGTCACTACAGACACGGAGCAGCTTGTCATGACCTGGAATGAAAATGGCTAAAAACAAGGCGGTCAGTGTCAGAAGCACGAGTTTGATTGGATAATATTGATAAAAAAAATATTTCAGTTTCATCATTTTGTTTCCTGTCAATCTGCTGCACGTCCAATATTTAATCAAACACAGTATGATAGTCAAACTGTGGAGGAATTGGTCTGACTAAAGCATTTCTAACAAACCAAAAGTCCTGCATTCATTAATTAGTTGCCCATTTTGATGGTGTTACCCCTCAAAAGGAAAGACAAAATAGAGAAGTCACACTAATGTGGTGTCTCTACAATGAGCTTTATGACCTTTAACCTGTTTGCACTTAATGAGCCACATTAAAACCACAGATGGGAGAAGTTTAAACCATTTATGATCTCGTTACAACGCTCCTTCGGCATTTCTGTGTTACTTTGACGTACACCCAAGCTGACAGGCCTCCCTCAGTACACCCCACAGAACCCGCTCAGGAGCAGCTCGAGGAACACGACCAAGAGCCCACAGAGACGACGACAAGGCCTCCAAACTCTCCAGATCACAACGAACAATCAGTGGAGGCCCCAGTTTACAATCCACAGTCGTTGTGGTGGCATGAGGGGAGCCTATGCATTAGGAAGCTGTGACTGATGCCGTACAAGGACTTTAAACCTTAACTAGGCTCTGTCAAGCATTTTCACACTCACACCAAAGGTAACTCTGGGTTCACAGTCTTCCACAAGGACACTTCAGCACTTGGAGGTCCTGCTGGTTCAAGCTAAATTCAAAAAACAGTGACCTCAGCAGGAGTTCAGGTGCAGCTAAAAGCACAGCAGCACACAAATAAAGGATGGAGTTATGACAACACCAGATTGAATCAACACACACCAGCTAAAGGTTTGGAATGTTGTACCCGCCAAAGAAAGCGCCAGCCCTTCAAAATAAAACAGGCCACTGAAAACAAACTACAGTTCCTTTTAATTTTATTACAAAAACAAAAACAGGATTTTCAGAATTAACAGTACAACATCATATCTACTCAGAATGAACAAAAAAAAGGGGAACAGAAAGGAGGACAAGTGCGAGGGAGACGGTGTGTATGTAAGTGTGTGTGTGTGTGTGTGTGTGTGTGTGCACGCGCCTGTATGCATAAGTTTACAAACCCCGTTAAAAAAAAACAGAAGAAATAATCAGAAAATGTGCATCTGCCCCCCAACACCCCACCCCAGCCCTCTCAAAAAGAGAGATGTTCCATTTTATTACCACAAACACTGAAGAAAACAAGAGGGGAGAGTTTAAAGCAGACGAGGAGGTGACGAGGAGGAGGAGGAGGAGGAGAGAGGATGGGGGGGGGATCTTAAGTTTCTCAGTTTATATATAAAACACTTGGCAGAGGATATGTCAAGTCTCGTCTTTTATTATCCATTAGTTAAGAAACTCATCTTTTCTTTTTAAACAGAAAATAAACAATGCTTGCAATAAAAACCCATTTAAACACACATGCACGCACACACACACACACACCCACCCACACACCCACAGACACACAAACAAGAAACCCTGATGATGGATGGATGGATGGAGGCGGGGGGTGAAAACAGAAGAGAGAACGAGGAAGGAATGGAGCTAATGGATGAAGTGTGACTGTCCTGCTGGTTCTTCCACCACCTCAACATGACACTTCACCGACCAACACAAAAATAAGGGGGCTCCTACGTCTATATACACATCGTGTGTCTGAGCATGTGTGTGTCTGTGTGACGTGTGAGCGTCGAAAGAGCCAGTTGGGGTAGAAGGAAGGTCGGGGGTCGACTAGGTTTGGCAGTATGAGTGTGTACGGGTGACAGAAATTTAGGACCGTCGCTTCTTCTTGCTGGGCGGGGCTGATGACCGGACCTTCCTCTTCCTGTTGGAGGTGTCCTCGTCCTCATAGTGGCTCTCTCTGTCAGCTGGAGAAGGAGAGAGAGAGAGAGAAACAAATACAATTAAATTCAAGCTGTGGCACAAGAACATTGACACATTTGAATGTGGCCGCCTGTGTTTCCCAACAGGACTGTTTACATGGTAATAACAGTATTAAAATACACATCTGCTACTTGTTTTTTGTTTTTTCTGCAGCTGACACAAGTGTCAAAAATACTTCTATATACCGTCGTCCTCAAATGTATCCATAGCCTCCCATTTAAGAAGCAAAAAAACATCTGTCACTGAAACAAGTTGAAATTGACAAAACTACGAAACAAAATGTATGAATATCATGACACTGCTTTGACCCGCAAACTAATATTTTCTTGAACAACCCTTTGAGCCAATCACTGCAATCAGGTGTTTTCTGTAACTCTCAGACTTCTGCACCTGTTGACAGGTTACTGTAATGTCCGGACTGTAAGACGCGACTTTTATTTCCCCCACACGTTTTGAACACCACGGCTTAAACAATGATGCGGCTAATTTATGGATTTCTTACGAATTTGCCTCGAGGCGAAAGCGACAACGAAAGAGAGACTGAGGAAGTGTTCCGACACTGAAGAAGACGACTTTCGTGGTTTTAGTGCAGGAGGAAGATGAAGATAGCGATCAGTGACTTTTCCTGGTAGGCTGCTGTATTTTCTATTTAATTAACCAGCTGTGTTGCAGGGACTGTTTGGGGGAAAAAAAGCATTTACGGTACGTATTTGTGTACGTTACCGGAACGTATTTAATTAAAACTTTTTAAAAATCTTTCCGTGTACTTGATAAATTCACTCGGCATTACCACTAACTTCTACGTGCAATAATTCACTCACTCACTATATCTTACTCATATCTAGTTTTCTGTTCCCTTTGTTGTCGTGACAGAGTAAACTTCCACACCATGGGACAAATAAATGATCATCTTCCTTTGTGTTGCTACTACTGACGGAATTATTCAGCCCTTTATCATCCGTGCCTTTGTTTCTTGGCCCCGTTAGCAAACATACAACTCACTGCAACCAATAAGTCACCTCCCACACACCTGACCTGATCACAACACTGTGCCTGTTTTAGTCCTGTTAGCTCATATTGCATCAATAAAAAAATAAATATATATCTTTTCAACCACTGCGTGTAGATTATCAGGTACGAACCTTTCCTGGCTTCTTCCTCCAGCTCATCCCAGTCTTTGCCGCTCTCCTCCTCGCTGCCCAGTGATGCGCTGTAATCTGTGCGTGAGTGCAGGAACAGTAGTTGTTAAGACATCAGTCACTTGCTGAAAACGTCCAAAAAGTTATTTTCTTAATCGTACCAGAGTCCTCCGTCTCTGAGCTGTAATCCTCATCGCTGTCTTCCTCCTCTTCCTCCTCCTCATCTGCAGACGGGTTGAACGTTTCGTCCTCCATCTCCGACTCCGAATCTTCCTCCGCTCCACTTCCCTGAGTCAAAAAACGAGATGGAGCAGGAGCAATATAAATCACAAATGCAAAACAAATCAAACAAATTTCAAATGTGTTATTATTTGTGATAAGTTAGGAGAGGAAATAGGGGGCATTTTGGCATCAGGAGAGAAACCGGCAAGCACAACATGTTTTTGATCAGTTTAAGAAAACTGTCAAAAAGTTGGTGACGGTTTTCGTCCACTCTGCTCAGCATACCTCGCTCTCAGGGTCCAAGAAAGACCAGCCTCCCTGCTCGAAGAAGCCCTCCGGATCATCAACAATGGTCTTCATGATCTTGGTCCAGTTCAGGGACTGGACTCCTTCTGTGTACTTGATGTCACATGAGCTGAAAAAAGACACGAAATATTTGAATACACACAAAAAGAAACTGCCTGCATTCCTTCAAAAGCGATGAGATGTTATTCTGGACATTTTAACTCCACTGCGGTCACGGTGAGCAGGCCTT